AGAGTAAACATAAGGGGTGGTAAATGCAATAAACCCGATTATTCCATATCGAAGAAATGATCCATATAACATGTGTTTTACCATGCACATAACTAATGCCATTGTCGATTTGATGTTAATCACGACTTTCTTGATATAAATTTGTGCTGTTTTCTTTTTCTTCGGATTCTTGATGAATGCTGATTCTGTGTGGGCCCACTAATGCAGGATATGCAGTATGAATCTATCGAATCGCATTACCATATGAAGCACTTTGTTTCTAGGTAAGTTAAAAAGTTTCACGAATCAATTTACGACTACACGAGAAAATTTGATACTCTATAAGTAATAAAAATGATTTATTTATTTTTTATTTTTTTTTCAGGAGAGAGTCCCCTTGGAAAGTAGATGGCGACTCAACCGGAATCTCATCTAAACTAAAGTTGCTCGAGCAAGAATTAGTTAATTTAGAAAAAATCGTAAAGGCGGATCTTTCAAAATCACCGTCACATATGCGGAAGCAAGCGAAGAGGTATCAATCATTAGCCGGAAAAATCGACGATCTCTGCAGAAGAATGGTACTATTTTTTTTTTTATTTTCTTTTATAATTATCCTTCGTTGCATGCATAATTAATATCATTGTTATAATTACGAGACCTTTAATTTATTTAATTTTTTGTTCTTTAAAGCAAGCTAGTGATCCGTGCGAAGCCAACCTAAGCCCAGAGTTTCGAACGCAAAGGCAAACGGAATTCCTTCTAGAAGCATTTCGACTGCAGCAGCGTGCATCGGAAACTAACCAGAAACTAACGGCACTACAAGCCGAAACGGGAAAGAGCTATAACGGAACGGAGCCCGTGGGCCAGGCCCAATTAGCCACACGAAGATCACTCGACTCTATCCGAAACAACTTAAAGGAAATCCAACGAAATCTCGAGATTTGGCTTGCTCGAATTATAGGCGATCTCGAAGGGTTACTTGCTAGAGACGGTGCTTCTCGTGCGAGGGAATATTACGTTTCTAGGTACCCTTTTGCTCAACAATGATAAATTAATAATAACTATAATAACTATAGCAACTATTTTTCATGTAGTAGTGATCAAGAAAATGTACAGCTCTGTTTCCTTTTTTTTTTTTTTTAATTTTTAATTTCATGGAATTGAAGTTGTCGAAAAGCTGATTGCAGCTTTGTATCAAGAAAAGCTGATTGCAGCTTTTTTTAGTATATTGTTGTTGAGTGGTCCTGGAAAATATGGTTAGTAGTAGTTTTGAACAGATAAATGATCTACAGCAGCAAAGTATTATTATCCCTTTGGATAAACTTGATGACAAGTACAGGGATTTAACTGATTATTTTCCAGCTTTTTTCGATGTTATAACATACATCACATTATTTATTTATTATTTTATTATTATTTTTATTATTTATTTTCAAGAGGGAAAAAAAAGGTAAATTAGGACCATCTTTTAGGTAATGTCAAATTACGAAAACACATATTATGTTTGAGTAATTACAACTATTTCTCCAACTATTAATCTTCTTGCACGTCTCGTTTTTATGGTATCAGATTCAAAGAAATCTTTTATATTTTGTGGAATGTTCTGTATTTGTACTCGTTTTGTGTAAAGATGCAGTTTTGATGCACCACAGTCTGATATTTGCAATCCAAGAGACACATTTTATGATCATTTTGTTTCAAAATATGGAGCTTGAATGGGATAAAACGAGTATAAATTAGAGAATATTCCATATAATCTGGAAAATTTCAATAAATTTACACTGCAAGGGTGTACGTGTAACAAAATTTATAATTGAAAAGGTAGTTGTAATTACCTAAACATAAATATAATGTAGTTTTTCGTAATATTTGATATTATTGTAGGAGCGACAGTAATTTACCCAAAAGAATCCTGACAAGATACCACTTGTATTGATTTGAGGATCAAAAGGCAAAAGTAAGTAAATAAGTAAAAAAGTTGAAATTAGAAATCATTGTTTTATTTCTAGCCTAGGTTGGGACATTGAAAAGAAGGCTGGTGGTCCTATTTTCTTTTTGTCACAACAGCAACTTGTGAAGGTTTGTGGTCCTAAGTATATAGATAATATATATATATATATATATATATATATATATATATATATATATATATATATATATATATATGAAGTCACATGATGAAATATCTTATTTCTTAAATTTATTTTGAATTATTTATCGAATTTCACTATAAAAAATATAAGATAATTGAGTGTGTAGATCAAATTAGAAATAAACTGTTATTTGGGGGTTATTCGACACTATGATCGGCAGTTTAAAAAATTTCAAAAACAAAAATTGAACACACGCGTCCCGTTACCATTTCAAATCGATGGTCACGATTAAGTGTCCGATGTGAACCAATGGTTCAGCCATTTTTTTATTATGGTTAGCCAGCAATCCAGCTCAGCACCAGCCGTTTTGGAACCGTAATTGTAAACTTCGTCCCGATGGCGTAGTGAAGAGGTTCGTTCAACGAGTTAGCCTAATTATAAGGCCTATTTAAATAATTAAAAAAAATATATCGACAAATACCTCAGTCGGACATTACAAGATTTTATTTCGAGACAATCCAGACAGAAAAAACATAATAAGCATAACTATTACAGCATTTTTTCAATAACAGAGTCCCGTTAAATTCGAGCATAAATAATAAGTCAAGAAAGATGCCGACCAGATTGGAGAAATTAAAGAAACAGAGTGACCTTTATCGTGTTTAAGGCACACTTAACTCCTAGATAAATAACTTAACTCGACGTAGTAATCAACTCTAAGCTGAGGCTTCTTCGAGCAACTGCTTCACCTTGGTGATGTAATCGCCCATCGCTTCCTCCTTTGATTTTCCTGCCATAAGTTGTAATAAACTAAGGTGGTAAGAAATTAAGCTTGAATATATCGTTCAACGACTGAAAAGCTACCAAAACAAAGAATTAGGTTCGATTTATTATATTATTTCAAAGATTGACTGAGGTATGCATCTGAACCAAGAACTACGTTCAATTACTGCTGCATAGATTGATGAACCAAGAATTAAGTTCGACTATTGCGCAGATTGACTAAAATGCTACTGAAACAAGAATTAAGTTCGACTTATTAGATTATTGCACATATCGACTGGAAGTGCTACTGAAACAAGAATTAAGATTCATTAAATTATTGCACAGATTGAATGAAACGCTACTGAACGAAGAACGCTGATCAAATATTTACCTTCAACAGCCTTCCATGCGTCCCACTTTGCTCTGTCCCTCATGTTAAAAATACCGGGGCGACCTGCAATTGAACACATAAGTATTTCAAACTTGAATTTCCAAAAGCATAAATTATTTAAATAAAAATAATAACAAATTACAAAAAAATGCGACATAAATTGCTAAAATTGAAATATACTAACTTGTGTTGACATCTCCAACTGTTGCTTGCTTGAAAAGTCCATATAGAATGAGTTTGTTTTCATTGGTAGTACTCTCGGGCAAGGTCTTCGCCTTCTCCGCGTGCTCGTCAAATTCTTCCTATAGATCCATACACAAGTTTTTCACGTCAAGTTTAGCAAACGAACCACATTTTCCGAAACCAAACGAACTGAATAATAATAATAATAAAGCAATTTCGTCGTAACAAAACAAACTTGCCCAAAGGTTACTTCCACAATACCATGGATCGATTTACGCATTTATTCAAAAGATCCAACGTTTAAATCGGGAACATCGAGATTTCGGAGATGTCATTTATGATACACGATCGGATCTATTTCGTGAAAAAGAATCGTGATTTTTATTCAAACTTGGGTCTCACACACTAAGATGGTGTCTGGCTAAACTTTTATTCAAAAGATCTAACATTTAAAATCGAGAACATCAAGGTTTCGGATATTTATTATAGACGATCGGATCTATTTCCGTGAAAAAGAATCGTGATTTTTCGTTGTCTAATGGAACAAACACTAATACCTTAACCGAATCGGTCAAGATCAAATCTGTTCTTCAAATTCCTCAAGACATCTCTTTCAACTTAGGATCACACAAAAACCGAAACCGAAACCAAAACCAAAACCAAAACCAAAACTCAATACATCATTAGTAAACAAATTAATCCCCAATTCAACAAGGAAGTACGACGAATCGACGATCATAAGCCAGGATTACAAATTTACTCAGATCTAATACATTTTTTAAAAAATCAATTCACCATATAATCAATTCACGCAAATTAAGCACAACAATTGGGGGAAAACAGTAACAGAAACTCGAATTTCAGCAAAAAAATAATAATAGCAGAAGGAATTTATTCCGCAATTTAATCGATTTATCGAATCATACCTTCAAACCCATCTTCTCTGTTTCGTTATCCGATTTTTCCGATCTGCTTTGCTGTATGATTGATTGTGGCGAACAAATTCGTAAAGTGAGTGAGGGTTTATATATACGTATATATAATATATATATGTGTGTGTATACACACAGTCACACACTAGTGAGAGAGTGACGGAGAATTCGATGCTTTCTGCGTACAGCAAATTATTTACATGTGATGAGATTAAAAGGACAGGTGGAGGTGGGGTAGGGCGGGGTAGGGTGTTTCGCCATTGGATCCAGCTATTTAAAACTGACAATTTTTAAATTAATTTTAATATTTTTTTTAATAATTAATAAATAAATGTTAGATCTTTTGGATAAAGTTTAGATTCTTTTAAGATGCTTTTTAGTCAAAGTGGATATATGGTGAAAGTCAAGGCCCAATTTAAGCCCAAATGAATTGATGGGCCACAAAAGCCCGCTTACTCTATTTATGTCCATTGCTAGAGAAGTCCAACTGTTTATATGAGCCCAAGTTAACTGTAACTGATCTCATCCGTTGGATCAAGGTTATGTAATCGTGTTATTTCCTTTTCTCGTTGAAGTACTCTCGCATTCTCTCTCTCTCTTCTCATTTCATTTGAAACCCTTCCTTTCTTTCTTAGTCTCTCTTTACATCTTCTTCCTCTGTATTGCCCTGAAACTCTATCAACTATGGGTCAAATGTCGTCATACACGGTTGACTTTGACTCTTTGATGGTACTTTCACCGGCTACTATTGACTTGAGTCCTATTTATACGAGGAGATCAGAGTGGAGGCGATTGAGACACATATAAATGACATAAACTTGACATAACCTTAATTCTTCTTTTGTGTGAGATTAAGGGTTGTTTGGTGAGTGTGTAAGCTTGTGGGCTTGAATTTGTGCATCCTCCTTGAATTTTTGGTTGAATTTAAAAGTGTGAGTAAGTTAGTTAGGGGATTAGTTCTTCTATGATACTCTGGTGGTGTTAGTGAATTTCTTTGTGGAATCTTTAATGTGAATTTGAATTGGAAGGTTAAATTGTGTTCCAATGTTCTTTCATGTAAACCAATCTTAAATAACTCTTAATCTCTTTAATAATCGATCTTATTGAAGTTTTTTGTTATCTTAATTATGCAATCTTTGAATGGATGTCCAACCGACTAGTATGTTTTGAAGCATCTATTATGTGTTAGGTTTACATTTATAGCCCTTTTATTTGATTTTGGCCATGAACAAAAAAAAAAAGAAAAATGGAAAAAGAAGTCCAATCTACAATAAATTATTTAGTATTAAAAAAATAAAAAATAAGAAAATGAGTCAAAATGATAACACTAGCAAAGTATGGACTTGGATCATAAAAAAGTCAATCCCATCATGTTGAAAAATGGAATAAATAATATGTAAGTTGTCATTTTCGTATTTAATTATTTAATTTAATCTTTATTGTTGGTGATGGACATAATTAAAATTCAACACACGCGTGCTTAGCTTTGTGATTCTTTTGTTCCATTTTTTCGTGTATTAGCAGCACGCTTTTTAATCAACAATTCCACTACCCTTTTCGCGCTTCTTTTATTTACTTGCCTTAATTACAAGCCCATCTCAATCTTTGCAATAGAGAACCACTTTATTTATTTATTTTTAATTGAAGAACAATAAATCATTTTTATTTAATTCTTCTACAAAATATGGAAGAGATTTTCAATTCAAAATCTTATTTTATATTACATTATATATATATAAAATGTTCATTTTTCTTCAAAATATACTACACGTAAAGTTAGGGGTATAAGTCGGCCGAAAAATCTGATTTTTTTTTTCAAAAGCGAAAAACTAGTTCCAATTTTGTTCAAAGAAATATGGAAAAATCGGAATCAAAATTTCGGTAAGTGGAATGCAAATACTTGTTCCAAGAACATACGTAATACTATTGGTAAGTGTAATATTCGGAAGGAAAAACAGAGTTTCGTTTTTATGTTCAGAACTTCGAATCGAATCAGAAATCAAAATATCATATATATTCCAATTTTGATCCAAATAATTTCTAAAAAAATTAAAACTCGGAATTTCGGAATTGGGACTAACAAAACACTGATCCAAACTTGGAAATTTTCGAATCGAAATCGACGGAAATCCAAAATTCCATTCAAAAAATTTCCAACCACATGTAAAGTAAACTAACTATATGTTATGAATGAACTAAAATATAGAATTAAATTAAAATCCAAATATAATATAAAAATGTGAAAAATATGTGTAATATTATTTTGACAAGAAGTTATCCATCCAAATCATATCATATCAATTATCTCCTCACTGGCCCTCCCCTGTCTTTCACTCTCTGTCTTTTTCTCTAATCAATTTTATTCCAAACAAATTTATTTATATATATGCAAAATAAATACAATTAATTATGCGTGTGCATATATAATATAATATACATATACATATACATACATATCGCGTGTGTATATATATCCAACGATTCTGTAGCTATCTTTGGATACTTTCAACTACGCCCAAAATTTTCTCAACACTGCTTATCATTAATTATTATATTCCTTTATTAAATGGCGCCGGCGGAGAAAACAACCACCAATTCAGTTACTGAAATTCGCCGCCACGCCTCCATTGAGATTTCCTCCGCCGCCATAAATCCAGTCTCCGATCACGGCGGCGGCGGCGGTGCAACAGTTGTAGAAGCTGCGCCGCCACCACTTGCTGGTACCAAAACGCAGACCTCCAATAATCATATGGACGAGGTAAACATATACATACATACATAGTGATATATATACACACACACACACATATGAGTTTGGTGTGTTCTTTTCTCTATTTCATTTTGTGCAGAGTTACTGTGTGTACTGTGTGAAAAATGTATAGCTATATAATAATATAATATAGTTTTTGAGTTATGAGTTTAGCAGCCCATAGGGTTCACCAAACAAGGTTGTTGTGCCCATATTTTTTTTTATTTAATTTTAATATAAATGGGATTATTTTTTTTAGGAAAAAAAATCAAAAAATAATATATTACCTTAAATTTGAGAAAAGAAAAACTTGATTATGAATTATATTTCATTTTTAGCACATTTTATGTATTTGAATTATGAGATGAAGAATGAGGTCCAATAGAAAATTTAATTATATAAATATGTGATATTAAGTATGTATAAGTTTTCTAAATGTCTTGGTAGTATTAGATTTTTGTTGTTCCCTATTCCGTCTAAATTATAACCATAATAAAAATTGTGTGTGTGTGTGTGTGTGAGAGAGAGAGAGAGAGAGAGAGAGAGAGAGAGAGAGAGAGAGAGAGAGAGAGAGAGAGAGGATTTTTTATTTATTTTTTATTTTTTTAGTTTTTATTATATGTCAATCCCTTAAAATATTTTTTAAAAAATCACCTTTGTCATTATTATTAGAAGCTTTCACTATTGAAACTTGTGAGATTCATCAATTTTCAATTAAACAATTATGTAACTTGATGATTATGCCTCCAACATGTCCATTGAGCTATGGTTTAGTTAGTATCAATTTCACAAGGAGGGCCATTCTTGTTTCCTCTATCCATTATGAGTTATGATACAATAATATATGAATAGTGTGTGAGAGAGAGAGAGATAGTTTTTTGCATTATACTTACATGGTCTATAAGATATTCCACTAGTGAAAATCATTGTATGATTTTGCACCATAAATTTACACAAATAACTACCCGATGTGCACATAAACATAAGTGTATGTGTTATTATGTGCGTATCAATAGTGTAGGATCATTCGATGTATTTCATCGGCTGATTTTGCATCATAAATCTATACAAATCACTATCCACTGAAAACACATACACTATAAGTGTGTGTTTGTTATTATGTGTAAATCAATGGTGCAGGATCACCCGATACTCGACGTATTTCGTATTTCAGGGTACAAAACTTATTTACACTAATGGGGAACTTAGAGAGCCAATATTATGTGGACAAGCCATTAAAAATGGACCAATTAGATGCACATGTGATTTTAAATGATAATAATGTGTTCTCTCACGCTTAGATGGAAAAAGGCCCCATTTAATTATTGCTAAAGTTAAGTCATAAGATTGCCTTAATATTTTGGGCATTCACATCATTTATATTTCGATGGGGTCAAACAAACTAAGCGTGTGAATGTATCATAATTATCTTAAAAGTTTGATTACACTTTTTCACATTTTTTCCAAAAAAAAAAAAGGGAGAGAGAGAGAAAAAAAACTCAACATATCTTATTTACAATATACTTAGAAGTCTTTTGGCTAAGTTTATTTTAAACAGTTAATAAGCTCTTACATCTGATAAGTTGTTTTAAGAGCTGATAAGTTGTTACATCTTATTTTTAGAATTAATTTTTACAGTATTTGAATAATAAGCTTATAAGCACCTTTTGCTTTTGATAAGATTTTAAATAAAAAAAGTGGGATAGATATATTTAAAAAGAAAATCATTTGCTCTTCAGCAACTTATTTTTCAAATTTTTAAGATCTTTTTTGAAATTTTTACCGAACACTTTAAAAGAACTTATAAGCTCTTAAACATCTTATAATTTATTTTATATAAGCTTAACTAAACATCCTCTTAATATAGCTTAATCACAATTCATTTCACTTTAAATCAATTAATTATAATATTAATAATTGATAGTAGGCTATATTTATAGTATATGTGTTCTATTGAAATACTATTTGGGCTTTCTTTAATTAAGACTAACAAATAAAACGGGCCCATCAAAGAAAACAGCCTAACTACATCGGGCCCACGCATGCTAACTTACGCCGTTGAGCCCTTCCTCCCCACCACCCCACCACCCACCAGCTGACGTAACTCTGCAAATTTTCTCCTCCTCGTGAGTGAATCTCGTACGTGGCCATCACTCTAAAACACACACACACACACACACACACACACACACACACAGTGATACACACATGCCGACAACCTCAATTTCTTCAAAATACACAGTCATCGCAAACACAAACACGAGCACGGGAATTACTTAGTCGCCTGCAAACAATAAAAATGATGCCCTTTCAATGGAGCTTCCGTTCGAATTTGGGAGCCCCTAAAAATTCATGAGGTTCTTCAGCTTGACCTAATTTCCTTCGTTTTTATCTCCGTTGATTCAATTTCTTCCCCATGCATGTTGATTTTTTAGCTGGGTAGTATCAATTGGTGTTTGTTTTAGCTTCAATCATTTTTTTCAGATCTTAATTTTGCTTGTTGTTGTTGAATTTGATTAACCCCCATTCAATAATTAGATAAAGATTGTTTTTTTATTTTTTAGTTTTTACCCACTTTGTTTTCACTGTTCATTCAATTTTGTGTTGGAATTAATTCAACTGTATATACCATCTTTAATTGATCATATTTTGTGCTCTTTTTGCCACAATTTTTTTTGGTGTGTTCTTTAATTGGAAAAATTAATGCAGAAACTGAGGGGAGCAAGAAGTGGACAAACTTCAACAGTAATGGGGGAACACCGTGATTCTCAATACATAGGCATCAATGAAGGCCCTTCCCCTAGACCAAACAATCACGGGAAAAAAATCTCCGTTTTACCCCTCGTATTCCTCATATTCTATGAAGTCTCCGGCGGACCGTTTGGTGTGGAGGACACCGTCAGAGCCGCTGGACCACTCCTTGCTCTCGCCGGATTCTTGATTTTCCCGCTCATCTGGAGTGTTCCGGAAGCCCTAATCACCGCCGAGATGGGCACAATGTTCCCGGAGAACGGGGGGTACGTGGTGTGGGTTTCCTCCGCTCTAGGGCCGTTTTGGGGATTTCAACAAGGGTGGATGAAATGGCTGAGCGGAGTCATCGACAACGCCCTTTATCCGGTTCTTTTTCTCGATTATCTCAAATCGGGAATCCCCGCCTTGGGCGGCGGTTGGCCAAGAGTCGCGGCGGTTTTAGCATTGACGATCGTTTTAACCTACATGAACTACCGTGGCTTAACTATAGTCGGATGGGGGGCCGTACTTCTTGGTATATTCTCGATTTTGCCCTTTGTGGTAATGGGCTTTATTTCAATCCCAAAATTAAGGCCTGAGAGATGGTTAGTTGCTAATGTTCACAAAGTCGATTGGAATTTGTATTTAAACACTCTCTTTTGGAACCTCAACTATTGGGATTCGATAAGCACTTTGGCCGGAGAAGTGGAAAACCCAAAAAAGACCCTCCCGAAAGCTCTTTTTTACGCATTGATCCTCGTGGTAGTAGGGTACTTCTTCCCGTTGCTGACGGGGACAGGGGCGATCCCACTTAACCGTGAGTTGTGGACCGACGGGTACTTTGCTGATGTGGCGAAGGTCTTAGGTGGGGCCTGGCTGAGCTGGTGGGTGAGAGGGGCGGCGGCAATGTCGAATATGGGCATGTTCGTGGCGGAGATGAGCAGCGATTCTTTCCAGCTGTTAGGTATGGCGGAGAGAGGGATGATTCCGGAATTTTTTGCGAGGCGGTCACGCTACGGTACCCCTTTAGTCGGGATATTGTTTTCTGCTTCGGGTATAGTTCTTCTTTCTTGGCTGAGCTTTCAAGAAATAGTGGCGGCTGAGAATTTCTTGTATTGCTTTGGGATGATTTTGGAGTTTATTGCGTTTGTGCGGCTCCGATTTGTGGCCCCACACGCCGCCCGGCCCTACAAGATTCCAGTGGGGCCATTCGGAGCGGTGGCAATGTGTGTTCCTCCGGCGATTTTGATCGGAGTCGTGTTGGCCTTTTCTTCGGTGAAAGTGATGATTGTGAGTCTTGTTGCGGTTATGGTTGGGGTTGTTTTGCACCCTTGTTTGAGGCAGAGTGAGAAGAGGAGGTGGCTTAGGTTTTCGATTAGCGAGAATCTTCCGGATATTCATCATACTTCTGTTCGTGATAATGACACTTTGGTCCGATGATAAACGCGTTTGGAACTAAGCTTTATATTATAGTAGCATTTGAAGGGAAACTAGGGGATGGTGATTCTTGTTCTTGTTGTTGTAGCTATGTAGATAATTGTGATGTGCTTTAACTGTTGTAACTTTTGTAGACGTGTTTTTTTATTGTGCGGTTCGCTTCTGTCTTTGGTGGTCATGTAATTTTATTTGTGCTCGGGTTTACTCTTGTGGATCTTATTTCTTTTTTGTATCGCTCAAACGTTTATCGTTTCTCTTTTCTTTGTTTAGCTAGCTGCCTCCCTGAACTTTGCATCACTTCGGATACCAAACAATCTCTCATCTATCTATTGGCTCGGATTTGGGTTCTCCTATTTAAGAGACCACGCAAGGATTGGCCCGCATGGTGGATCTGGACAGTAGTCTTCCCGGGAAGGCGGAGACAATCGGGATTTGATGGTTGTGGGTAGCGTGGTATCTAGCAGTGAGATTTCTCGACATCCGGTCAAATAGAACGGTATGCGTACCCTTAACCCTGTGAAGGGTGCAACTTTCAGTCGGTTGGAGCGAACACGTTTCCGATTCGGTTCAATCATTGCCTCGAATACAAGTTTGCGACGTGGGGTACTCATTGGATCATGGATCGGAATGTTGTCCTTTTCCGAGATTTACTGACTGGCAAAGATCACGATTCTCTATGGTCAGCAAACGAACTATATCTTCAGGCAAATTGGCTAGCACGCACCTTCGCTTCTTCAACTTCTCTTGCTTGTAATGAAGGGACCCGTTATTTTTGCGGATTTGGCGGCTTTTGCCTAATTAATGCATTTTGTGTTTCCTCTAAAAAAACATATCAATTTCATATAAAGAATCTGTGAAACAAAATAAAAGACAAACTCAGGTGCATCGGACTAACACAATCTATTACCTCCACAACCATATTCTTTTTTGCACCACACACCCATGAACCCCACAATTACAAATTAAGAACCTCTAGTTTCTTCTTTTTTTTAATCGAGAAAAAAAACAACGTAAAGAAAAGACCGAGGTCTAAAAGAGCAGCAGCCTATATCGTTTTAAAGTATAAAATGACGAGAGAATGAAAAGACTTTCTGTAAGGAGATTCCTGATAGTCAAATATCAGCTGCCAAGAAGTTCCCTGACAACGTAACCTGCCCCGTAAAGATGAATGCATCAGCATCATTATACCATAAACAGAATAATGCAACAAGATTGTAAAGACGAACATCTATCGAATAAACGGATCTATAAATAGCAAAGGAGTAGCTACAGTTCCAACAGACACAAAAGAGAGGAAGGGGCATAATTGTTTGGAGTATATTTGCACATACCTTTTCGCCGAGTTTGAATGCAGGAAGACCCTTATAAGGACATGTACCGCATCGAAAAGCATCACCTAGACCGCACTGCACAAACACCATTAACATGTGAGAGATCACACGAAACTAAAAACAGTCGTAAAAACAAGCTGGAAAGCCAATTAAGAAAACAAGAGCAAAAAATCACAAGCATCGATACTCATTCAGAATATTAAAAACTGAAAACTCATAGCTCATACAAGCACAGCATAACAAGCATCAATTGAGACAATACGGTGATTGGGTAATCTCTTCAATAATTGGCATGTTATGGTGACAATTCAAAACAAGATACGGCCTTGAAATACTAGGTTGTAAAGGCATATACATTTAAACCACGGTAAAAGAGATAAATTAGAATTGTAAAATGTAAATCAAACATACACTTCCACATGCAGATTGAGGATTATCCAGCTGGTCCATAGTAAGTCCAAGCTTTTCCACTTTTTCCTCCTCTTCAGCTCTCCCGCATGAGCAATTTTTGCAAGCTTTCCTTGTGCTTCCAACTTCACAATCATCTAATGCACAAGCATATTTCCAATGACGCCGCATTAGACTAACACCAATTCATCGGACAATGAATAAACAATTACAAGGATGACAACTAACCAGGTGGCAGCTGGGGTTTCTTGAGATCCTCTTCTGTAAGGAGGCTATCCTCGTCAATTAGGTCCATATCATCGTCAATCTGAACTTTCGGTAAAAGTTGTGAAGGTTTTTTCTTGAGAGAAAAAGACGAGCCAATCATCCATGAAGGCTTCTTTCCCGTTATCTGTCCGTACAAGACAATAGAATCAATTTCGAATTCTATATAACAGGGTAAAATTAGTAGATGGAACTAATTGTAGCACATTAACAACAAGGAATTGATAAAAGAGTAATTTCAGATAATATATGACTAATGGAACACATTTTATTAACGGAACAAACTCTTCATTCTTATATCAAACGGAATTATCTTTTGGAAAAAGAAAAAAAATAAGTAATATGATAAGATAAATGCATCACATAGTTATCAAAACGCACCCCAACAGACTGTCCACCAGAAGATTGTATGTCCAGAAATCCAGCGAGCAGTAACTTGCGCTCAAGAGAAGAGTTTGTCTGTGAAAGAATCCCGGAAGATTTACTCAGAACATTCGACATAGACAAAAATATGAGGTGATAACCCATAGTTGAAATTCTAGGACTTAACAAATTACCATTTGCCCTGGGGCAGATTCAGACGACAAAGTTAGGTAGATAGTTCCACCAGGTTTTAAAAGTCTTGAGATGTTGGCAAGCAATTTATCGCTTGGAAACTCCAGTGACTTGCAGAGGGAGACAACAGTATCTAGAGATGAAGAATCCACCAATGTCAAACCTGCCATAAGAAAAACAAAATGCTGCTTATTGTGTGTCTTAACTTTCTCGAAATCCTATGGTTCGTGGGATATAACAATGCTGCTTTTTAAAAAAAAAAAAATAGTCTCAATATAAGCATCCTACAAACTCAAAATTAAAAATAATATATTTAAAAAAAAAAAAAAGAGGTGCTATCTCCCAGTTGTATTTGTAAATGTTCTATATACAAAAGAACGGGAAAGTAACTGTTGAGAGAGATTTCAAAACTAAACAGGGGATATGAAATTTGATGTATTTCAGAAAAGTGAACTGCAATATCTTATCTGGGATACTCTCCATATTAAAATTCCAATTATAGTTGCAAGAGATAAGCGATCTTGTTGGGTAACCGTCAATAACTACGAGAGAAAACAACTAGGGGTCCGTCTAACAAATATTCCACTCTATCTTATACCATCAACAAAAATTTCAACCAAATTGAATTTTATAAGCTGTACTAGAACCAGGAGAGACAAATGCAAGGAGCAGTTTATCGAGTAATTCTAATCCAGATCATGATTGAAAAATAAAGAAACAAAACATTAACAAATTACTTCATTAAACATCTTTTGCTACATAACTGAAAAAACAGAGACAATAACTTACTGTCTGATGAAGCTTGAGTGATGATCATAGGGTCAAGCTGTTCAACTCCATCCTTCCTAACCACCTTAACTGCATCGAGAACTGCACCAAGAGACACTGCTATCTGATCCGTGACCACCAACAATTTATCCTGCCCCATTTCAGTTTCCTACAAAATTGCATTACGATATGTCAAAGAACTCGCTTTTGCTACTAGTAAAAAAAACCCTCCAAAGTGCAAATTTTGGGTTATACTTGAGAAGAATTCACAAAGTATATAGTAGGGTGGGTTCGGAACAGATTTCTTCTGGGATATCGGATTATTCGGGATCGGGAAAATTGGGATTTGGGGATTTTTGGATCGGGACGGGGTTTTCCGAAATAGATTTCCTAACAAAAGCTGTTTTTAATATCCAACAACACCTCTCAATATTCATCAGTGCAACCATCTAAGATTAACATTCAAGAGAAAATCAAGGAAGGCGAACCATAATCTTTAACGCATACATGATATTACTTATCAAGCCTGATTTCGCCAAATGGGTAAATATCTATTCATTTTTTTATTTTTTTAAAAGAGGAAAGAACTCACTTTGTACTGTATAGACCTAATTGATGCAAATTGGCAAGCTATTGCCACCTTATAAACACAAACCAAACAAGAACAAAAATCAATATTTCTTTCACAACCCTAATTCACCTTTGGCAAATCAAATAATCAGAAAAAATTGGGAAAAAAAAGTAGAATATGGGGGGCCCACTCACCTAGACGAAGTGGAGCTCCGAATCGAGAAGCAATCGGTGGTCGGCGGCTCAAAATTTCTTCCCCCTCCGCAGTTTTTTTGGTGGTGGCGAAAATGGAAGTTGCCGCTATTTATAGCTTCGGAATTTCGGGGTTTTAGGATCTTCTTTGCCGACTTACTGTTATGCGTGTTCGAATCGGGTTTGAATACAATCTGAAAATTCAATTTTGTTATTTATAAATACAAAATTAACTAAAATTTACTATTCAATTTTGACTTTGACTAGTATCTTTTGTAGTGATAATTACAGTTTTGGTCCTCCAAGTTTGCACATTTTCTATTTTTGGTCATTTATTTACTATTGTCAGTAAAACACACCCTCATGCTGCCACATTAAATCACATTGAGTCCCTCTGTCTATTTGACCGTCAACAACTAACGGTTAACGGTCGAATTAGGGTTGAATTTAGGAATTTTCTTTGATTAAGTTGCAATAAGACCCATGTATTATTTCGAAATGCTAACAATGATCTTATTGCAATTTTTCTTAGAGAAAAATTTCAAATTCAACCCTAGTTCGAGCGTTGAGGGTTGAGGGTCAGATACACGGGGGACTCAATATGTATTTTGTTGACGGGGAAAATAAGGGATTATAAGTGAAATGTACAAACTTGAAGGACCAAAACTGTAATTATCTCATCTTTCATACAATATATCTTCTGAATATGATAATAGAGAAAAAATTGTTTATTTCTTAAGGGAAACCAAAAGCAAAATTTTATAATTGCAAACTATCTAAAAAAAATTAGGGTAAATTATGGTCACCCCAGAGGTAAGGCAAATTACAAACAACTCTCTCTTATTTGGGTAATTACCTCAATTATATTAATCTTCTTACACGTTCATACTTGCGGTGTCAAATTTAATAGAATATTCTAGATTATATGTAATATTCTCAAGTTTGTACCCGTTTTATCTCATTCGAGTACATATTGAAACAAGATGATTGTAACATGTGTTTTTTGGCTTGTATATATCTGATTGCGATGCATTAGGAACTGCATTTTTGCACAAAACGAGTACAAATTGGAGAACATTTCACGGAATCTAGAAGATTATGTTGAATTTGACATCATTCGGGTGGACGTATAAGAAGAATAATAGTTAAGAGGGATAATATTAATTATTCCAAAAATGAGGAATTTTTCGTAATTTAACCTTACCTCATGGGTGGTTGTAATTTACCCAAAAAACAAACTCAAAATTTATTCCTAAACTTTTCTTTATCATAAAAAAAAAAAAAGAAAAAAAAAAAAACAAAAAAAAAATCAAGGCAAATATATATTATTTTGAAATGAGGAATTTCTAAAAACCCCTAACTAAAATCGCAGCGTTTTCTGATTTCAAATCCCCAATTGTGTTTTGTCTCGGTTGTTAAAAGCACCAGCAGCCATGGCTATATATATAGCCACTTGAACCACAAACCCCAACCAGTCCTTGTTTAAAGCGAAAATGGGGAAGAAGGCATCGCCGGCGAACGCTAATTCCGGCAACGATGATTTTCACGCGGCGGCTCGATCGGGAGATCTGAAGGCGGTGATAGAGATATGCAGCGCCAATCCTCTCGCCGTCAACTCACGTGACCGCCACTCCCGTACTCCGTATCTTTCTCTATTTTTCTCCATTTTTACTGTTTTTCTCATTTTGCCCCTTTTATTTATGGATATTTGAATTTTTAGTGCTTTTTTTTAGAAATATTCACTCTATTTTTAAGCATTAGTTAGTTTGGAGCATGTGCCCGGAGTAACTTGAATTCACGGAATTGTAGCTTGAAATTTAAATTGCTCTTTTTTTTTTTTTTGGGAGTATATGTTGATTTGCAGAATATTTGAACTTGATTTTGTTCATCTTTTGCTTACTTGATTTGCTTGCTCTGTAAATTTTGCTTCAATACTTCAAATCAATATATGTACACTCTTTTATTTGTAATTCCTTAAAACATACCGAATCACGGGTTCATGCTTAAGAATTGGAGGGAGTCATATTTTGCTCGAAGAATCACTGATATGTGATATGTGTGCTTATTACCGCAATTCTTGGTTATAAATATAATTTCATGAATATTTAAACCCACTTATGTAATTTGTGAACCGTCACTTATTCCCCATATTTTCGTGAAAAGTCGTTCGATGTGTTCTATGTTTTCTTCATATTGTTTCAGTGTTTTAATATCGATATGCACATGATGAAAGATTCGTGACTCTGTTGTATACTTAACGAAATATGACTTCATGTCACCAATTGCTTCGTGTAAATGTGCTTTGAAAGAACTGACTAAGGAAGTAAACAGAGAGGATAGTTCCCGATTGAAAGTGATTTAGAGTTTCATCAAAAAGTTTTAGAGAATCCTAGTTTCTTTCGTCTTTTATGTAATGGAATTGGTAAATTTCGTATTTGTTGTTTATATACAGTACTTTTATAAATCTGCTCTTCCTTAAGTGACAATGAAACCATAGACTACATCTAGCATCGTGGTCTGGGCATGCCGAAGTAGTAGACTATCTCTGTAAGAACAAGGCGGATGTTGGCGCTGCCGCCATGGATGACATGGCGGCGATTCACTTTGCCGCACAAAAGGGCCATCTCGAAGTCATCAAGATTCTCGTGACAGCTGGCGTCTCCGTCAAGTCCTGCAACCGAAAGGGCATGACTGCAATCCACTACGCCGCCCAAGGGTCGGACGTCGAGCTCGTCAAGTATTTGCTGAAGAAAGGTGCGAACAAGAACTCGAAGAACAAGGCTGGGAAGAGCGCAGTTGATCTCGCGAGCAGTGATGAGATTCGGAAACTGTTGGTTGAATTTGAACTTGAATCGGATTCTTCGTCTGGTAAAGGTGAAAAGGGGGCTGAAAAGGAGATTTCGGATAGAGAAGAAGGGGAAGTGTATGAAGGGAATGAAAATGGGGAAGAAGGGAAAGATGAGAATCTGAAGAGAAAAAGTGAAGGCGATGAAATTAAAGAGAATCGAGTGGGGATTAAGAAATCGAAGGTTGCTCTTAGTCATCTTGTAGCTACAGACGACACGCAGGAAGAAGATGAAGACTAGTGAAGTTTGTGCGAGAAAACGGCTTTTTTTTTTCTTTTTTGTTTTTTGTTTTTTGATAATCAAGAAAATGGCTTTGAGAGTGTAGTTTCTTGAGAGTAGGTGTGTTGTAATGGTGTTGTAGAGAATCAACTAGCATGAGAACTTGAGAAATTTTTATGTTTCAGGTCTTGTATCTTCACCTTTTTCCTTATTAAATATCCGTTGTTCAAACATTTAATCACCATTTACATATTTAAAAATATATATATTTTTAACTTCAATGGAGTAGTCGATAAAGGTTCTATTTTGATAATCCATCTATTGTAAATTGAATTATCAAAAATGTAACAACGTCAAATCACAAATCATGGAGTAAGGGTTTCCAAATTTTAATTTTAGAGACTAAGTTAGGGCATCTCCAATGGAGTATTTAAACTCAATAAGTCTCTATATTTTAGAGACTTTGCTAAAAAGATCAACACCAATGGAAATCCTAGAGAGTCTCTAAAATAAAGAATTTACCTAAAATTTCTAAATATTTTCCTATATTTGAGATTGTATATTAGAGACTCCAACCTTAAATTGTCCCGCGATAAATTAATCAAAAAGATTAATACAATTAAATTTATATTTTTGTGGTTGAATATTTATTTTTGTTGCTTAAATTATTTATTTTTGTTGTTGAAAATAAGAAAAAAAAAAAAAAATCTAGGTGAGACAAATTTTAAAAAATCAAAATAATGCTAATGAAAAATAACTAGAAAATTTAATGTACAAAACTAAACAACAAATGTAACTAGAGCAACTCCAATGGGAGAACCAGATGGAGTATTAAATTATAAAACTACCATTTTGATTCTCTAAAGTGAAAATGTTTCACTCCAATGGAGGCATTAAAGTGGTGGTTAATTTGATACTCAATCTCCTAGAGGTGTAAAAATGCACACAAAAAAAAGAGGAACCAAATATTCCTTAAAAATAGCTCTAGCAATTTCAACGGAAAAAAAAATAATATCTCAATAAATTTCAATGAAAAATGGACAATAATTTATTTAATGCCTATGAGTTGGAGCATATGAATTTTTTAAAAGTATCAAAGTATTATCTCAAGCATCAATTGAATATTTGATGCTCCATTTTAATACATCTCCATTGGAATTGCTATAAATTAATACATAAAATTAATTTTGTAGAACTCCTCACTGGAGATAACTTTGTTTTAAAAACCTCGAGTCTCTAAATGAGTCTCTAAAATGAAATTTAGAGCCTCATTTTGCATACTCCATTAAAGATGCCCATGGATACTAAAAAAGTAGTTTCCCATAAGGAGTTTTGTAATATTAATTTATAAATTATTTTATATTATAACTGGATTATAATTTAGTTTCCTACATTAAATTTTCAATAGTTATCTTCCATTTGCATTACTTTACGGCCACCCCGATATAATATCAAATTATAAAAAAAACTCTAATGTTTTGGTAATTACAACTAACTCGTCGATTGAGAATTTTTTTATACGTCCACCCTTATAGTATCAAATTCAACAATATCTTCTATATTTCGTGTAATGTTCTCTAATTTGTCCTCGTTTTGTGCTAAAATGCATTTTCTGATGCACCACAATCTGATATTTACAAGACAAAAGACACATCTTAGGATCATCTAGTCTCAAAATATGGAGCTCGAATGAAGTAAAGCGGGTACAAACTAGAGAATATTCCATATTGATGAAGCTAAAATATAGCTCACCTAAGGGGTATGGAAAAATGAGTTGGGAGAGCAAAGCGGATCAGTAGCTTGACAACTCGATGATCCTGAGGTCCCTACAAAATAAGCACACGTGAACTAAGCCGGGGGTTGATCCGGCGGAAACCCCTCCGACGCTCAAGTCAGATGTACGGATCGTAGAGAGAATAGAGAGAATAAACTCGTGGTGGATTATCAATAATGAGAACGTACCTTTACAAATGAATAAAACTTCTATTTATATGTCGTTGATTGAGTTGGGCTTATTTTGTTGGGCCCAAGCCTTACTTTGAAGGTGCTTGGGTTTTCGTGTAATGGGCCCGAATACTTTCGTGTATTGGGCCTAATTATTAAATAAATTGGGGTCCATTGGGTCGGCCCAATTAGGTATATCATTAAGCCCCCCAACTCTCGATTCGAGACGGAGACTTGTGTAGAGGGACCCGGGTCGTGTCGAGAGTTAATTGCGTCGTGGAGTGAATTGTTTCCGTTGGTGGTGAATTAATTCCTTAATTTGAATAAGGAATAATTGTATTTATTTGGCAGCGAGGTATATATTTAAGGGTTTTAAATAATATACCAGGGGCCAAATAAATATACTCCTTTTGTGGTGGAAAGAATTTACTTCAACTCTTGCGTAATAGATATGGGTATGTATCTTTAACCTTAGGTCTTCTTCTGCTTTCTGTTCTTTTATTTTATATCGGTAGAGTAGAAATTTTTTGTTGCTTGATTATTTCTTCGGAGAAAAATTTTATCTCATGTCGAACTCGGGTAATTCGAAATCTTTACGAATTAAACTTCGAGATCCGGTGGAAGGGGGTAAGAAAACTTTTGGTACGGTGAGTATGGAACGCGAGAAACTTGTACCATTGGGTGTAGAAATTGGATCTGCAGCAGGAAATTCACGAGTATCAAATAACAGGGGGTTTGTAGCAAGCTTGGCTTCGGGCGTTGGCTCGAGCCAAGCTGCCGGGCGGATGTGTGTGAGAGGGGGCGCGCACTCCCAGGCGGGTGGGAAGCCGAGTGAAGCCACGGAGCCGGCGGCTTGCACCCGGATCGAGGAGGAGAGAGGGAGGGTTGGCAGGCCACGTGGGCCAGCAGCTTTGGTGGGACGCGCGTCGGGCACGCCTCCCGATAGACGCACGCGCGCGTTGGTGGAGGAGAGAGAAAGAGGGGCGCGCGCGTCGGTTGGCGAGTTGGATGGACGCGCGCGCACCATTGGTCCACTTGGCGGCGGTGGGCGCGTGATTGGGGGCGGTTTGCAGAGACGCGCGCGCGCGTCTGGTGGGTTGGGTGAAGGGGACGCGCGCGCGGGGGCCAATGGGAGTGCTGCACGTGGTGCTGGGCAGGATGGTGACGCGCGCGCGCGTGGATCTGCCCCTTTTGGGGCCACGCGCGCGCGTGAGGGCGTGTTACAGCCCGGTTCTGAGCCCGATTCGGGCGAAATTGACGGGCAATTATCCGGGGGTGCTGATTCGCGTGGTGTTTTAAACGGTGGAAGTTTTGGTCGGCGAGAAATCATTGAATCGTGGAGTGACGATGTAGAAGTGCGTAACAATATTAATGTTTGCCCTACTGTTGATGAAGTGGGTTCTAGTAGACGTCATTATATGCGTCAAGTCGTGGATTTTGGGAGTGATAGCGATGATTCGAATGAAGCTCCTTTGGCGAGTGAACATCCGGTGTCAAGTAGTGAAGTTGAGCCGATGGTCGAGGAGGAGGAGGAAGATGATATTCCGCCGGGTGATGTTGAGGTTGATAGTAGAAGGCAAAAGAAAAAGAAGCTAATTAATTTGGACTTAGTTGATTTTGACAGTGTATTGACTGAAGAGCAGTTGCATTCTATTCGTCGTTTATCTGGAGCGCCGAGTAATGTGGAGTTGTTGTTGCCTAGGAAGGGCGATCGCTTGTATTCGCCACCCGATGGGTTTCATACGGTATTTTTGGGGTACTTGATGTGCACATCTCAGATTACGCCGCATCCTACCTTGTTGAAGGTTTGCGAGGAATTCAAGATTGGGTACAGTCAGCTAACGCCCACTGCTGTTCTGATGTTCCAGGCATTTCATTTTAGGGTGGTTCGAGTAGGTCTGCCTGTGTCTGTGAGTTTATTCAAGGCGTTATTTACGTTACATCGGCCCACTAAGATGCCTTTCTTTTGCTTTCATCCTCGCGTTCATTACCAATTTGTGAAGAGTGTGAAGCTATCTTTGGGGAAATGGAAGACCTATTTCTTTTACGTGAGGGCTCCCACTTTTGACGTTCCCGTAGTTTGGAATCCTACGTGTGAGAGTTTCGCGATAACTGCAAATATGGCGAAGAGGATTGAGGAATCTGGGTTGTGCGATGTGGAATTTGATCCGAGGAGTTTGATACCGACGGTGGAGGGTCAGCATCGTATATCCTTTTGTTGCTTTGAATTGTTTTTTTGTTTTGTTTTTTTTTTTTTTTTTTTTTTTTTTTTTTGTAGTTCTTTGGTCATGTATACCTCATGTTTTTTATGTGTTTGTTATCTTTTGTAGATGGTGGTATCACCTTTGCGGCACTTCGAGTGAAGGCGAATGGGACGTCGAAAAAGGTATCGAAGAAGGTTCCCTCTAAGTTGGGAGGTTCTTCGAATGGTTTGCCTCGCGAGGAGATTCATGTAGAAAGTCCTCGAGTAGTAGCAGATGATCGTAGCAGTGCTGGCGTAGTGGAAGAGCGTCCACCGAAGAGGGATCGTGGCAAGGGAAAGAGGGTGGATACTGAGTATGTGGCTGTGCCTAAGCGTCCACGGGTAGATCCAGAGGAGACTTATGCTTTCCATGGTGGAGGAGGGAAACAATTGTTTACCTATGGTGTGAATCGCGACGGTAAGGAGTCGTATTGGGATGTGTCGGACCATGATTTGCCCTTGTTGAGTACCGAGGGATTTGTTCGGGAGTATGATCGTGCTCGGATGTCTGGTAAGGGTCCTTCTCACATGTTGGAGTTAGCCGGTGGGGACATCTGTCGGGTGAGTCTTTGTTTACTTAAAACAAGATTTGGCGTTACTCCCTCTCTTCCTTGTGTAAAATTTTTTTTTTTTTTTTAGTTGGTAGCGACTTGGAGATACCTCGTGGAGCACGGTAGGAATGCGGAAGCTAGTAAGGAAGGGGATCGGGTTCGAAGTCAAGCACGTGAGGATGAGCTTCTAAGTCAGTTGGAGAAAGCGCGGTCCGATCTCGCTCTACGCTCTGAAGAGCTTGCTCGGAGGACAGAGGAGCTTGCTGAGAGGACGGAGGAGCTCGAGGTTATCCGTGGTGATGCGAAGGCTTATAAAGATGATGTTCATAAGTTGAACGAATGCTACGATCAGCTCAAAGAGAAATATGAAATCGAGAAGGCGACGGGGAAAAGGTTCCTCACCACATCAGGCGGTGCGGCTTATAAAGATTCCATTGTGGAGGAGACCAAGGCTAATTTCCGAGGTAGTGATGAGTGTGTCGCTATGATTGAGGAGCATGC